TTTCTCAGTCTTCGTGGTGGATTTTTCTAGGCCAGCAATTTTCTCTTCTACATCTGAGATTCTATTTTCTGTATGATCTAGTCTGCTTTTAATACTTTCAAGGGAGATTTTGACTTCCTGTATTATAGTCTTCATCTCAAACAGTTCCATTTGATTATTTTGTAATGTGTGTAATTCCTCTTTTAGATCTTGAGAGCATTTCCTCACCTCCTGGAACTTGTTAGCTCCTTTCTTCTTTCTCTTCTGCAGTTCATTGTCTCTCTTCTCTTCCATCTCTGTTAGCTTCACCATTATGAATGTTTTAAATTCTTTATCAGACATGTCCATGATTCCCATTGAATTGTCTGTGGATGAAGAGGAGTTATTCTTTTCCCTTGAAGGAGAGATATTTTCTTTCTTTCCCATATTTCTTGTGGTCCTGCGGTGATTTCTAGTCATCTGATGTAAAGTGTGTTTCTTCCCACACTTCAAGTTCAGTCACACAAGTTTTTGGGCTGGAGGCTGAATTATCAGTGGAAAATCTTCATTTTTCCTATTCCCCTGATATCACTAGTTCTCAGTAGCCATGAAGGTGTCTTCTGCTGTCACTCTATTTCTATGATATACTTTTTATTTTCCTATATGAGTAACATGTGCAATACTAGTCTTCCTATGCCTGGGTTCATGGTCCTTTCTGTTGGAATGGAGGAGGGTGCTATGAGATTGGGAGCTGGGACTGGATCTTGGTCCCCGGGGCAGGTTCCAATGAACAGCCACCCCTCAGTTTCCCTGACTGGGCAGGAGGCTGCAGATGGAAGTGAGCTCTGCTTGAGAGCTAAGAGCTGCCCCTCTCATACTCAGCCTAACAGGTTCTGGGCTTCCTCCCTTCTTGGTTGGGTGTGGATAGTGCATGGCTGGGTCAATCTGCTCCTCCTGTCCCCACAGGCTGCTCCCTGAGGAAGGCCTGGGCTGTGGCGCGACAGGCAGGCGGAGCCGCACTCAGGGCGGGCCAGACCCTCCCAGCGAGGCGACCCCGCGCAGCTCAGGCCGCAGGACGCCAACCTCCGTCAGGGAACCCCTTCCCACGCAGGCAGGGCAGGGAGGGGGCTCTGCTCTCCACTGGAGACGGTCGCTTCGGGCTGTGGTTCGGAGGAGGGGCGGGCACCAGGGCCGGCGCCTTCTTGGGTCTGGAGAAGCTCCTGTCTCCAGGTCCCGCCTCAGCTCCAGGGTGCAAGGGACCCGGGAAGGGGTCTCTGAGTTATGGATTTTTGAAGGAAGGTTTCCCCTTTTTTTTTATCCTTTTTTTTTTTTTCTTTCCTCAGGTGACTATTTGCCAACTCAGTTATTCTGTCTGGAAATAATTTCAAGCCTGGAATAGATATATAATCAAGGTTCACCCAGTTCAAATAGCAATAGATATCCAGTTTACTTGTAATGACATCTTTTAGCTGTATGATACACTGACGGAAACATACAATAATACATTCTCCACATTTATAGGAGCATTTCTGAATAAATTTTACCATGAGAAAAACATAAAAAAAGATACTTGGATAGTTTTATCATCTTAATTAAAACAGAAAAATGGGGAGCTGGACCCATGCATGACCTTCACACATTGACCAACTCTCCCCTTCAGTCACTCCTCTCTGATCTCCCTGGTCTCTGAAAACCTCTATTCTCAACTTCTATGACATCAGACAATTGCAGTATTTGTATTTCTATGCCTGGCTTATTTCTCTTAATGTCCTCCAGACTCATCTGTTTCATGACAAATGACAGAAGTTCATCCTTTTTTATGCCTGAACAGTATTCCATTATGTATGTATAACACATTTTCTTTTCCCATTGATCTGTTGGTGGGCATTTAGGTTGATTTTATATCTTGGCTATTATGAATAGTGCTGCAATAAACAGGGGAGTGCAGACATATGATAAATCTATTTTTAATTTTCTGAGGAAACTTCTTTCTGCTGTTTTTCATAATAGTTATACTCATTTATACTCCCACCAACAAACAATATCCTTGATTATTTTAGTGTTCCTATGTTAGATATATGTAAAGAAGCCAGGAAGAGTCTTTAGAAGGAAATAGTTAAAAATTTGACTTATGATAGAAGTGTGCTAGGTTACTTGGCTGGGCAATAACTGAGGTAGAACATTTTAAGGAAGAGGAATTACTTAGCATAAAGTACAGGGTATAATTAGAGTAGGGAGTATAATTAGAATTAAAGAAGTACTCAGGTCAACCATTAGAATAGTATATATATATATATATAATGTATATATATATATATATATTGTAGCTTTGAAATATGTCACACTATAAATCAGAAACAGTAATATCAGTTAGGATATTTTAAATCTGGTCTTATAAATAAAATTTGTTAGACAAGAGAGCAGACAGAAAATAAATAGTATATTTAGATGTTTTTAAGAGTCAAAATCAACCAA